GCATCCATAGGACTGTATAGGGAGCATCCATAGGACTGTATAGGGAGTATCCATAGGACTGTATAGGGAGTGTCCATAGGGAGTATCTATAGGGAGTATCCATAGGATGGTATAGGGAGTATCTATAGGGCTCTATAGAGAGCATCCATAGGACTGTATAGGGAGTATCCATAGGGATCTATAGGGAGTATCTATCTATAGGGAGTATCCATAGGATGGTATATGGAGTTTCTATAGGGCTCTATAGGGAGTAGCCATAGGACTGTATAAAGATTATCCATAGGGCTATATAGGGAGTAGCCATAGGACTGTATAAAGATTATCCATAGGGCTCTATAGGGAGCATCCATAGGACTGTATAGGGAGTATCCATAGGGATCTATAGGGAGTATCTATCTATAGGGAGTATCCATAGGATGGTATAGGGAGTATCTATAGGGCTCTATAGGGAGTATCTATCTATAGGCAGTATCCATAGGACTCGATAGGGAGGCCAGATAGAAGACTGGAGGTCAGGACGGAGGTCAGATATGACTGAAGGGAGTCTGGGGCTCAGCCTCCACATGTGTACATTGGAAGGTCTCCTTTCTCTCGCTGTAACATCCTCACATCCTCTGACATGACAATAGAAATGAGAGGTCGGGAGGACGCGGCACAGGATTATAAAAAACTTTATTGTTATAAAATGTCGTCACACAAATAATGATTGAATATATAAATAGATTTCGGACTTTGTTCCTGCGCTGCGGGAGAGACGCTCGCGCTGAACAATTGGGGGAGCAGACGGGATCTGAAGCGGCTGTACATGGCGACCAATCAGATTGCAGCTTTGAAAGCCGGAAGCTGATTGGTCGCCATGTACAGCCGCTGCGGGTTCTGCCTGCTCCAGGTCTTCTTCCCCTCAATGATTCCTATGTCTGGTATGAGGACGTCACCGGGACCTGAAACATGTCGGAGTGATCACTGCACACGGATCATCTGGGTGGGGCTCAGGCTCCTCTCCATTCCCCGGGCTCCATCCTGTGTCCTGACTTCATTCCCGGAGGACTCGCCACAATGACTCGTCCCATCCTGGAACCAGCAGTGCGCCCTGGTGCTCGCCTTCTACACTGGATGGGATCAGCTGTGACAGGTCCCCTTTACTTCATTCAGGGGTCAAAGTTCACAGCTGCCCCGACTGCTCACATGCTGCACTGCACCTGAACGCCCCCAATTCCGGGGTCAGGAGGAATCATTCACAGAGAATATAGAAACGTTTCCGTAGTCACCTGGACTGGACGGTGGCCTGGGTGGGTCAAGGGCGGCTCGCCGGTCATGTGACCAAGCAGCTGCGGCATGTCTAGATAACGCCATTGACGGCTATTGTGGATCTTCGGTATGAAGGAAGCGGGGGGTAGTCCCCAGATCAATCACACCACCATCTGCTATTGATTCATTATCAGTGATCAATTGATCGTCCCACCGAACCAACAACTCCCCATAACGGGAACTACACAACCCACATGTAGGTGATCAGAACATACAATCGCATCGTGTGCCACGGGTCAATACTCCATGCAGCTTGTTTATCTGCTCCTCCTCATGCACTATCCATCATGACTGAGCTGCTGCTGATGATGGTGGGGGTGATAGTGGTGATGATGGTGATGGTGGGGGTGATGATGATGGTGGGGGTGGTGGTGATGATGATGGTGGGGGTGATGATGGTGGGGGTGGTGATGATGGTGGTGATGACAGTGGTTGGTAGTGATGATGATGGTGGTGTTGATGATGATGGTGGTGGTGATGATGATGGTGGGGGTGATGATGATGATGGTGGTGGTGATGATGATGGTGGGGGTGGTGATGATGATGGTGGTGGTGGTGATGATGGTGGGGGTGGTGGTGATGATGATGGTGGGGGTGGTGATGATGGTGGTGATGACAGTGGTTGGTAGTGATGATGATGGTGGTGGTGATGATGATGATGAAATTGGTGGTGGTGATGATGATGATGAAATTGGTGGTGGTGATGATGATGGTGGTGATGATGATGGTGGGGGTGGTGGTGAGGGTGATGATGATGGTGGTGGTGATGATGAAATTGGTGGTGGTGATGATGATGATGGTGGTGATGATGATGGTGGTGTTGGTGGTGATGATGATGGTGGGGGTGGTGATGATAGTGGTTGGTAGTGATGATGATAGCGGTGATGATGATGATGGTGGGGGTGGCGGTGATGATGGTGAAATTGGTGGTGGTGATGATGGTAGTGATGATGATGGTTACAGACATTTACACAGAGATGATCACCTCTTACACTGGGGGGACTGTTTATAAAACGATTTACACAGATATCCGTCCGTGGAAAGTGTCGGAACATTCACTCTGAGTGAATGAACCGTCTGCAAAAATCTTCTTCCAATACTACGCACAGCAGTGATTGGGGGCAGTACCTGACTGTGGCCACCAGAGGTGATTGGGGGCAGTACCTGACAGTGGCCACCAGAGGTGATTGGGGGCAGTACCTGACAGTGGCCACCAGAGGTGATTGGGGGCAGTACCTGACTATGGCCACCAGAGGTGATTGGGGGCAGTACCTGACTATGGCCACCAGAGGTGATTGGGGGCAGTACCTGAGTATGGCCACCAGAGGGCGATGAGGATCACAGGACATCGATCTCAGTAAGAAGAGATACAATGTAACAATTCTGGAGCAGCAGATAAATGTAACCATTGTGACTACCACAGGGACCCCAAACAAGAGCCGATGACCCCAAATCCCGTCTGATAGGATCCCTTCCTCCCCCCTCCCCCATGTGTCCTGTATTGTTTTATATCTGTTCCCATTTCCTATAACTGATAGGAATAATTGATTGAGGGGAATTTATCAGATCTGGAGCAGCCGGCCAATCAGCTTCTCGCTTTCATTTTCAAAGCTTAACTGAACAAAGTGAAGAGAGAAGCTGATTGGTTTTCATGGACAACGGCCCCAGTTTTGATAAATTCCCCCCATTGTCTTTATGAAGTCCCATCATCCTCATCTCACCCCATGTGTCATCTTCCTCGTGTTTTGGGCTCCTTCATCTGAACATTAATGGGACAAATTAAACGAGAATAACAATAAAAAACCGGAGGGTCCCATATACAACCCGGAGGGTCCCATATACAACCCGAGGGTCCCATATACAACCCGAGGGTCCCATATACAACCCGGAGGGTCCCATATACAACCCCGAGGGGCCCATATACAACCCGAGGGTCCCATATACAACCCGAGGGTCCCATATACAACCCGAGGGTCCCATATACAACCCGGAGGGTCCCGTATACAACCCGAGGGTCCCATATACAACCCCGAGGGTCCCATATACAACCCCGAGGGGCCCATATAGAACTGTCATCACTCTGAAGCCCCTGCAGGGACACTTTGCTGAGCTGCTCCTGGTCCTGATTGGTTCTGATTGGTTCTGATGGATTCTGATCTATAGGACTGAATGTCGGTTTTTAGTTTTGCACATTAGCAGTAAAAGATGAGAACACATGACTGGGGCCCTTGTGGGGCCCTTGGCCGGGACGGAATCCGATGGCGGATCTTCCAATGTGTGGCTGGGTCGGTGGTCTCGGGTTCAGAACCGGGATGTTTGGGGCGACGCCGCCGATGGTTTCTTTGACATAAATCAGAGACATCCAATCACTGCGTCCGTACAATCCCATGCTGGGCTGGCCGGGGTGAGGGCAGAGGATCATGCGGGGCCCTTCCTCGTGATGTCATACAATCCCGGTCATTGGTCATGCATCGGCGGGGTCTCACAGCGCTGTCATGCAAACGAAAGACACAGAGAAGCATGTGAGGGGCGTGTACTCCATCATATCATCACATACACCATGCAGTCAGGGAGCAGGGACGAGCCGTGTCTGGGGACCTGATCCTAATGTCTGGGACTGATATTCCTCCATCGTCCAATCCCGGGGGCTCGCTGGTTGTCTCATCTGACCTGCAGCACCGGGGTCCATGGATCAAATCCCGGCCAGGACGATATCTGCATGGAGTTTACATGTGTTCCCCCCTCCCTCCCCCATCTAAAGACATGCAAGAAGGTTAATTGGCCCTCGTATGTGAGATAAGGACGTTAGATTGTAAGCTCTTTAGGCGCAGGGACTGCTGGGAATGTACAGCGCTACGCATCATGTCGGTGCTATAAAACCTGAAATAAATACATATAATCCATAGTTCACTATCTAAGGTGTCCCTCCGGACCAGTCACATGACCACTAAATGCTCCACCTTGGTCACGTGATGAGAAAACTGAAGAGGTCATCCCTTTGCTCTCTCCTCCTATCAGCAATCCCTGTGGGCGGCTGAGCGCACTGTACAATGACAAGGAGCAGATTGGCTCCAGTCCTCCTGCACAGGGGCCGGTCAGCACAGGGGCCCGCCAGCATAGGAATCATTGAACACAGGGGACATACCATGAGACACAACAGCATCGGATTTGGACTGGGGTGGTCCGCATAGGAACTTCTACTTCGGTTCTCGGACCCCCCTACAATCATAAATATACCATTCGGGTGATCAATAAATACTCGGCTGTGCTCGGCCTCTATCCAGTCCAGTCAAACCCATCCCCCCCCCATTGCCCCCCTCCC